ACACAAGGAGCTGGTCATTGCACTGGCTCCAGAGCTGTTTCTGGATTTTAGCACACCACAGAAACTGATAAAATGAAATCTCTACCCCAATTTCAACCCATTTGCATTGCTTTCTGGAAGTGAGAGAAACAAAGTGCTCCATTTCCTAGTGTTAAAGGAGTGTTACTTCGCATAATCTCTCCAAAAATGTGAGTCTCAGGTGCTTATCCTCTTCCCACTCTCCCCAAGAGCTCATGTGGCCATTTTCCAGTTTCCAAGAAGCCTCTGAGAGGTTTTCTGAGCAGGGACATCCAGTTCAAACACATGCACTGTGTTAGGTATCAGGGGAACCAGGCCAGTGGGTGCTGGAAGCCCACCCTGGGCATCCTGGCTCCCCATGGGCTCGTTGATGCTCTGGCTACTGTGCGCTCATCTCGGCAGCACCCAGCTGCAGCGCCCGGTGGCATCTCATCCCCTCCTCGGTGACTGCGTGACAAAGCCGATCGAGAAGTCAGAGAGATGCCCGGGCTTTGGATCAGGCTTTACGATCCGAGATAATCCCTCACTTCATTATAAGATAGGATTTTAAAACTGCGGAGCAGCGGACAGCTTCCACTGGGCAGCGGGAAGAGAACCTTTTAATAAACATAAAAATCATATTAAAAATATATGTACATAAACTGTGCTGCCACATAGAGGCACGGGTGACAGCTCTCCCAATTTATCATGAATTTTGCAGTTGGCAGCACTTTTATTTTTAATGCCTGACCATTGGAGTCCTACTATTGCAGGAGCTTTTTCCTCTTATCTTTTTAATGCAAGCAGGACTCTAGCTGTCATTTTTGCAGAGGGAGGCTATAAAAGGTGAAATAAGCACAGTGTAAGGGATCTAAAGCCAGAAGGCTGCTAAAAAAAAAAGCACAGTAATTTTTAATTTCATTATTTTTCAACATTCAGAGTTAGCCATGTCTGAAAACATAAGCCCTATAATGATGAATGGAATGAGCAATTGTTTCACCCAGAGTACTCTGCTGTAATGCAAAAATTTGTGTACCAAGTGAAGGTAGGTGCTTAGGAAATGATCCAACATATCACACCAAAGAAACAAACCAGCTTAGCACCTTCATTTCCCTCCAAGCACCACAATAAATCCATCATATATCTATGGTTTCATTTGAAAGCTAATAGGTGCCCTCAAGTGCATGTCTGATTGCTGTTAACTTGGAACAAACTCTGCAGGAGATGGGGAGATGCGTATCCACTGTTAAACCATTCATTTTCCAGTTACTGTTGTGGCCCCTCAATTTAAGCCCTTTGAGTAAATTGAACCCATTTAAATGAGGTGCAGGAAGACGAGTTCTGGTGGTGATGTGCTCTCAGAGCATTTTGCCCATTTTCCAGCAGGAGGGCTCTCCCAGCTCTTTGCGTCCTGCCCCACAGGGTGCATGAGGCCATGGGATCCCCGGGGAAACGGGACAGGAAAGCACAAAACATTTGCACAGATGAAAACCAGGAGACTCCTTCCTTGCTTTCCCCATGAGGTCGAAGCTCATCATCTGCCCAGCATCCTCCCAAAGGTATTTTCACAGTGCCACAGGGAGCCCGGCTCGCCGTGCTTACAGCATTTCCTAGTGCTCTGGAGGCAGCTGCTCAATCCTTGCTTGGGTCTCGGCCAAGGTTTGTTGTCCTCACTGGAAATGGTATTGATTATTTGTGCTCAGGAGCCAATTATGGCCGGTACGACACTCACCAGCTCTCAGCTCAGGGTGGCGTGTGCCATGGAGGCTGCTTTCCTTCAGCTGCGCCTGCCAAATGGGCCAGCGAGGTTCTGGATGATCACGGCTCGCGTAGGTTGGTGGGGTTAGAAGCCAGCTAAGGGGGATGAAATGGCAGCTGGAGTGTGTGACCTGCCAGCGGTGGTTGTGGTGACAGGCAGCAAATGGCGGCGACGCAGCCTGCAGGAGCAGAACCGCTCCTGTGGGCCTTCTGGTGGCAGGCCTGTGAAGTGTTACACAGCCAAAACACCAAAACCAAACGGCTTCGCTCTAAATCAGGCTCCAAAATCCTGCTCGTAATGAACAGAGCTCAACCCAGACCTCATAGAGGTCCTTCTCAGCCCGAGGTGAGGTGTGCCCTGTGGTCAGAAGCAGGAGTGATGAGCCAGCAGTGAGGGGATCTCGAGAGCCCTACAGGGGGATCTGTGCGCCGGTCCTGCATGGGGGATGCCTCGGTGCCAAAGCCACGGGGCATCAGGAGATGGGGGAGATGGTGGATTTGGTGTGTTAGGGCTGAATCATGGACAATTCCTCATTTTGCTCTTTATTTATTACCTTTGTCTGCCTCACTGAGTCTATGTTAATGTTCGTCTGGTGTTTTCAGCTCTCCTTATGCTTGGTGCCTTTAACAGCTTCCTGGGCAAAGCACCTTCCCACGTGGCTTATTTGGTGCTATTTAGATGAATTTGGTGAGCAGCTAATCTGTGTTTGTTTCAATAAAGTTTGGGCTGTACCTTTCCATCCAGCTGCCTAGTGGGAACAGCGCGCAGAGGTGATGCTTTCAGTCACTTTCTCTATAGCTTTTGCACGATTAATTGAATTATGAGAAGCAGGTTACTTAAACAAACAAAATGGCCCTGTCACACTTCCTAGGGCCTGTTAAACCCATAAAAACAAATATGATCAACGCTGCCTAGCAATTACAAATGCAACTGGCAAATTGGCCTCCCTGCCCCTTAATGAAGAGGTTGACGAGGTCTTCTCGGGGCAGTCCTCCAGCACCACGGCTGCTGGAGGGAATCACAGTAATGCCTCCATCCACTGAGCAATGCTGCATCTGCCATTGCATCCCCTACCCAAAATAGCTTACTGGTATTTAACAGGCTGTGATCACGTCACCCATGCACAGCAGGAATATTGTCCTGGGAAATGAGCTGTGATCTCTCCTTGCTGCTGGTGGCGAATTGCTCGGAGAATGGGGTGTGCTGGGGATGTGCCGGCTGCGGGTGGGACAGGCCAGGGAGTGCAGGGATGGGGCAGCCACCCTGCCCGCTGCTTTGGGGGTGATTTTGCAGAGAGGAGAGGTGCCACTTGGCCCTGTGGTGGTTTAGATGCCTGCCTGCTTTAATGGCTTTGGGATGTGGGAAATGCAAGTGTAAATACTGATGACGTGCAGGTGCCTTTCCTGTGCTTGCCTGCTCCCTGCTGCCAGGGAGCAAATACATGTCCAAAGAAGGAACACATCTTTTTTTTTTTTTTTTCTCTCCTTTTTATTTGTGTCTCAGGCAAGGAGCAGAGATGGGAATAAAGGAAAAAAGGCGTCAGCTGCTTATTAGATCAGCAGCAGTTGTTTTGAGTCCTAGCTTCTCCATGTCAGTTGATGTGGTAAGCTTTGTTTTGGGGGTACCTTCCTGATGTGAAGGGCGATCTGATCACCAAATGGTATTTTGCGGCCATAATTTTCTGCAAGCAACTTGCAGTGGTCTCTCCAAGGTAACGTGCTGTTGATTAATGCACAAACTTATCCAATCTCCCTGGTGCCCAGTTTTTATTCCGTGCAAGCTCTGATTATTCAGTAAAAAAGAAACATTGGCCTATGAAGCTAAACATCAAAATGCAAAAGCAGAACCCTCAGTGTCCCCACTGTTTGCAGTGTGTTTGCTCAGGGTTATTTTCATGCCACACACAATTGAGGTTATTGAGGAGAGCAAAACGAACAGTATTTGTTATTCAGTTCTTTTTGGGTTTTCAGCACTATCCTCATCTCAGAGCAGTGGTGCCTGGGGATTCCGGGGGTGTGAGGTTATGAATTTATTACATGGTGTGTGGAGCTGTACAGAAACAGCTCCCAGAGGCCTCACTGAAGGAGAAGGAAAGGATACAGCATGGAGGAGCCAGGAGTGGGTGGATGGAGTAGGAGACATGGGTACGGACATGGGGCAGCGTGCCTGTGGTGTCGGGGTTTGAGTGCAAGAGAGCAGTATGACAATTTATGTTTTCAGACTGCTGGGCTGCTCTAACCTCTAGCAAAGTGTGTAGCTTTCCACTGGGACCTCCGTTGAGTCTTTGCTGGATGAATCTGCATCTGAGGTCAAGTTCCTTAAGCCAAGGAGATTTAATAGGGATTATGCATTTGTGAGTCTGGCTCTGGCTCTGAACTGTTTATTTCTGCAATTTGCCAAACCAAAATCCAAAGTCCAGACAATCTTAGAGAAGGTTATACCTTCATTTCAGAGTTTGTGTCTGGTTTTACAGGCAGTTAATACATTCAGGTTTCTGTAAAACAGGTAGAAATTTGTATTAAGTGGTTTAAGTACAGATTTTGAGCACCTTAATGACAATAGACTAGAAGCAAATGGAACGGAACTGGGGTTATTCTTAAAACAATTTCCTTTACCTCAATGTGTGATCACCTTGTAATTTCTTGTGCATGTGTTACACCATCCATCCCTTACAGAGCTGTGGGGTTCCTGGCTTCTGTGTTAGAGGTGGAGGCAGCAGACTGCAGATGCACAGGGGTCCTGCTCTGCAACTCCCAAGCCTTGCACTGGCACCCAGGCTCCTCCGTCAACCTCCGTATCAAGTCCAGGAGAAAACAAAAAAGGTTTAGAGCAGGAAAAGTAAAAAAAAAGAAAAGAAAAAAAAAAGCGGGGGGGAGAAAAGCTTGAGTAACGCAGTTGGAGAAATAGGGTGGTAGAGAAGACTGAAATCAAAGACCTCAGGCTGTTTCCATGCGTGGATGTCAGCAGTGTACAGTGTGGGTCACCAGCATCCAGGCAAACAGCTGAGGCTCATGTAATGCCCTCTGTCATCCCTGGAAATCTGCGTGAATGCTGGTGTGGTTGGCTTATCTAAGAAGCACCAGGCTGTGAAGCAGTGTGGGATGCCCAGGACGCTTGCTGGATAAGTGGGCTCATCTCATTCCTTGCACTGAGGTCTGTGCTAACCACATACAAATCAGGTGGTGGACGTGGCTCTCTCTGCTGCTAAACCAAACCTTTGTCCTCCCCCTCTGTCTCTTTGCAGAGCTCCCATCCTCAGAACACTTGAGCGTGGCCGATGCGACATGGCTTGCCCTCAACGTGGTGTCCGGTGGAGGTGGCTTCTCTGGCTCCCAGCCCATTGGTGTGACCAAAATTGCCAAGTCAGTAATAGCACCACTAGCTGACCAAAACATCTCAGTGTTCATGCTCTCCACCTATCAGACGGACTTCATCCTGGTAAGAGGACATGAGAAAACCGGGCAGGCACCTGCCACCAAATGAAAGTTCAGTTGGGCAGAGTTTTATTGGCAACAAGTTGTTTGAGGAGCAGCAGGAACACCAAAGTCTGCTTTCCCCAGAGCTCTGTGCCATGCTGTTGGGCTCTCTGACATCTCAGGAGCTTTTCCCATTCTCAGAATGCCGTGAGGCATTTCTTGGTATGGATTATCTGGTGTCTCATGAGAGTGCTGAGCCCACACTACAGTCTCTCCCTTACTGGCACTGGCAGCATTTTCCACCTTCCTTCTGACTTTGGTTTTCTGCATTATAGGAACATAGTGTTTGCTGTCAGGTTGCCTGGTGATGGACAGGAGGCTCCAAAGTTGTTTTGGAGATGAGCAGACTGCCTCACATGCATGCGTGTGTGTGCATGCACATAGGGCACAACCACATAAGATCTATTTTCTTAGGGAACAAGGCTGAAGAACAAGCAGTGCTAAATTCTTGAGGGGATGCTGGAAGAGAGGTGAAACATCTCCCTCTTAGTCACTGCAAGCTGCTTCAAGCTTGTAGAATTACACAGGCTTTTCACAGACCTGAACACCATGGTGTTTAATCCTACCGATATTTGCAGTAAAAGCACCAAAAATGCTTCCCTAGACACAGATCTAGGTGGCAATTATCCTTATTTACCTGCTGGCTCAAACCAGAATGATGTGTTCACTCTCCTGTGCCCTGAGAGTGCGTAGCCTCACCTGCAGCATGCTCTCACTTCTGGTGCATGCCATCACAAGCTAACCCTGTTGTCACCTTCAGGTACGTGAGCGAGACCTGCCCTTCGTGATGCACACGCTGGCTGCTGAGTTCACCATCCTCAGAGTAGTGAACGGGGAGACAGTGGCTGCCGATGACCTTGGGATAACAAATGGATTTGTCAAACCAAAACTGGGTAAGGACCAGCGTGGGCTCAGCCTGCTGGGGGTGAAGAGTCTACCTCCTAGCTGGCTTCAGCATTTTGGTGGATGGTTATCCTGTTGTAAGGTAATAAACCATCTTAACACATGCCTCAGTCCCTCCCAGTTTGACCAAGGATTTGAGTAGGTGCTTAACTTTCTGAGCAATGCTGATGAGCTTTGCTGAATTCGAGGCTTTTAATGCTAGTTTAATGTCTCTAGAGGAGATGTGCCTTTTGTAGGACAGAAGGTTAAAATACAATTCATTTCAGTTGCAAAAATGACATTGTCTGTAGCCCATGCTTCACATTTTAACATTTCAAAGGAAAACAGCTTATATAGAGGCTTGTTTATGCACTGCAGCAGTTGGTACATAGAGAACGTTGTTGTTCAACTTTCACACTTCAGTACCACTCAGGATCAAGGCCAGAGTGAGCCCTAGGCTGTACAAAACCTTGGGATGTTTCCACTGTAATGGAACAAGCATCAAGCAAAGGGCACAATCAGGAAAGGAACTCGTTAAATACACGTCTACCTACACACCTATGTGCAGTTTTGTGCCCACAAGCAAACAAAGCAGGGATCATTTGTTTTGAAGTGCCACTCAGCCTCATCACTCGATAGCTGTAGATCATCTTCTTAAGAAAATGAGCCTTACACAAAAGCATGAAGGAGAGGCACAGTGAACAGCACAGGTATGCAATTTGCTGCTTTGCTGTTTAACAGTTCAGTGCATAAATAGTGGCTGCTCCATAGCCACCGGCTGCAAGTGTGATTGGAAAGCTGCTGCGTGTCAGCTGGTTTTTAATTTTTGTCAGTGTTAGAGCAAAATGGGCCTTGGGAAAGGAGGGAAAAGAGGGCGTACTGCCAGCAACCACAGCCAGAGAAATGCCTTCCATAGTCCTTTCAAATGGTGGAAGCCTGATTTTTTTTCTGCTTTACAGTTTGTCTTGCCACCTTTAGCTGCCCCTGGTTTCCTGTGGGTGCACCCAGTGGCCTGAAAGCCCCTCTGAGCGGAGAGCTGACCTGTGCTCCATGCAGGGCAGGGTACTTGGGATGCCCTCAGCCCACACCTTGGGGAGGATGCTGCAAGAGGAGGTTGTCCTCAGGCTTCTTGGTCCGTGTCTGAGAGCCCATGGGGCTTCAGTAATGAGAAAGTTTCTGCTTTTACCTTAAAAACACTGCCAGTTTTCTCTGCGTGTGCATGGATAATGTCTGGTGGGATGTGAACCTGCTGCAGGTGTGGCTTCATAGCTGTGTGTGTCTGTGTGTCTCTTCCAGTTCAGAGGCCTGTCATTCATCCCCTTTCCAGTCCGAGTAATATGTTCTGCGTCACCAGCCTGGATCCAGATACCCTTCCCACTGTTGCTACACTCCTAATGGATGTCATGTTTTACTCCAATGGGTAGGTCGTGGCAGGGAGACAGGCTCCCCGGGGAGGTATGGCTGGTGTGCGGAGACACAAATTTGCATTGCTCCTCTCAGATGCTCTGAGATCTGCTTACACTGTTTTGGTGTCTTGCATTTAGGAAGGGAGAGGAGGGAGCTTTTACAGGCTTGGGAGGGTTGTCCTGACAGGTGGAAGGCAAGCAGGAGATTGAGGGTGCCCAAAGACTTCGGCTTTTTTATTCTTCTTTTTTTTTTGGCTTTGCAGAGGTGAGCCTTTTCAGACTTAATCTAAAAGTAGCAATGGAATCCATATGCTGCAAATCCAAAGGGTATATGGCTGGTGATGCTGCACCCTTCTGGTGCCTGCAGCTCCTGGCCCACTGCTCTCCTGCAGGAGGGACCTGGGGCAGGGGTGGGAGAGTTTGGTCAGTTGTGAGAACTGGGAATTCTTCCCCTGCAAAATCAAGAAAATGAAAAGCAGTGTGATGTGATGGTACTCACTGTCACTTCCCTAAGTCAGTGTATGAACATCTCTGGTTTCACAGGCTGTATCTGCTTTAAAAGCCTTCCTTTGATCTTCTAGCCACAGCTAATGTTGATCTTTTCTGTTCCTTCAGAGTAAAAGACTCGGTGGTCGGCAACGAAGACTCGGGACACATTCGCTTTTTCTCCTTTTCTCTCATTGAGGGTTACATCTCCTTGGTCATGGATGTCCAGACACAGCAGAGGTGAGCTTTGGTCGTAGGGTCTTCTCAGCTCCCAAAAAACACCTGTGATGTTTTCAAAGGAGTGGGAAGTCATTTGAGCTCCTATATGTTAATTGTGGGGAGCCTCATTGTGTGGCTGTCACATTCCTGTGCATCCTGTCACTTTACTGAAAGAAGTCTGGCATGTTGATCCAAGTCCAGAATTCTGGGCTTGTCTGTCCAAGCCCTTGGTGAAGTAATAATCCAGAGTAATGTAGGATCCCAAGAGCTGTCTCACTTTGCAAGAGGGACATTGGAGCAAAGTGGTTTTGCAAATTTTATTCCATTGTTCATTACTTGTAATTTTGAGAGCAAAAACCAAAAAAATCTGGTGTATGTGGTTGAAGGTTTACTGCCAAAAACCGAGAGTGGGGTGGCTACTTTGGTGACACTGTCCTCCCACTTCACTTTCACACATGGCTGGGCTTGGTGCAGTCTCGTTGTGATGATAATGTACTGAGTCATCCCTGTGCAGCAGGAGCCCATGGCTCGTTTGTCTGGCAAGGCAAAAAGTCAGCTAGGGAACGAATATCAGCCTGTTTGTGTGTGTGTACTTCTGCAGCTCCACGTCACAGGAGTCTCTGAAGTCTAGAGGCTAGACAGCGTGCTGCACTGAGATGCAATGCATAGGTTTGCTTTTGACACACAGGGCAGTGCTTGGTTTGATTCTTGACTGCCCTAGGGACTTGGTGTGCAAACTATTAATTGCCCTCTTGAAAGTTTCTTCAGCCTTAATTGGGGTGAACCTCTGTCTGCCTTCAAGAGAGGCCTGAGGCTTGGAGCAGCAGCCTGGTGCTTGGGGAACCGGGGTGGCCAGTTCCTTCTCTGTCACCGCCTGCTTGACCTCGGGCAAGTCACGTAGCCAACAACCAGCCTTCTTCCCTCACTACAGAACTGGGATCTCTGCGGGGATCCCAGGGGCCTCCCAGGGATGGTACAGAAAAAAGCACTGATGATGCTCAGACACAAAAACAGTGGGTGCTGTCACATACCAAAGAGAGTGTGTCTGGAAGCATCAGCCACCCCTAGGTGCTTTGAAATGCAGCTCAGGTCAAGCATTCAGATTAAAAGTCTTAAGGTTTTTAAAGCTGGGGCACGTCCTGTTGTTTAGGAATTCTTTCCTGTGCCTCACTGAGTGCCTGTGCACGCTTCCAGCATCAGAAGCTTATTTAGTGTAGGACATCTGGAGGGGCAGGCAGGTGCACCTGTACCGCTTGCCCTGACTTTTCTCAGTTTCACCGAGCTGCTGCTGCTGCTATTGCTGGCTTCAAGCAGGGCAGGGATACAGGAACAGCAGCATCCCCACAGGCAGAATCTGACACACCGCTGTGTTTTAATTGCTGCATTTGGTGTTCCTTTTCTTTTGCAGATTTCCTAATAATTTGTTGTTTACAAGTGCATCTGGCGAACTCTGGAAGATGGTGCGGATTGGTGGGCAGCCTCTTGGCTTCGGTAGGTAAACATTTGGGGGATCAGTTGGTGCACAGGTAGTCACTTGCCTCGGGGCCTTCAAAGGTGATGGAAAAATCCATCTGCGACTGAGGCTTTTTGAGAGCCAGCAGCTTAACCTGACTTTGCAAGCTGAGGTTTTCAAATAGGTAGAGTCTGACTCCTACCTGATAAGTTAGACTTCCAGGTATACTCCTGAAGTGCTACGTGCTTGACAGCTCGATCTAAATTACATTCATCTGTTGGACTTTGGAGGTACATGCAGCTAGGTCTCTGTTGAGAAATTAAAAATGAACTAAAAGGTGGCAAGGGAATGCATTGTAGATTACTGAAAGCAGCAGTCAGAAAGCACTGTTGTAATCCAGTGCAGTCCTTGGACAACTCTGGGGCCTTAGGAGATTGAGCATTGAGTTATAGCAGTCCAAGCAAGGGTCCTATTCACAGACCTATTTCACTTCCAGTGCTTCAAACGTTTTCTCTACTCAAGAGTATTGGACCTAAGTAGCACAGAGCAAATACATCACATCTGCAGAAGTATTCCTGTTATTTTCACGTCTCCTACAATTATAAAGAAGTCCAATCTTAGTTCTGCAATAAAGGTGTGATAGTCAGGAAACACTGGGGCTCCATCCCGTGGTTTCTGTAACAATTCCAAAATACAGGCTTCAAGAAAATTTCTGAAAATTTATTTCTTTTTCTTTTTCTTTTTTTGGTACTATTTAATACTTTCTTCTACACCAGACACAAAAAATGATGCAAGAAGGAAATTTTCATGCACCTTCTTTTAATGCATCTCAGAGGCAAAATATGTAGAAATGGCCCAGCATATTTAATTGATAGAGCTTTCCGGTCCCCTAAGTATGCAATATTTTAGTATGTTAGCTTAGAATCCAGTTGAGATGTTAAATTTGTATCTCTGAAATGGACACTCATTCTTTTTTTTTTTTAATCTTCCCTACAGATGAATGTGGAATTGTCGCTCAGATTTCTGAGCCTTTGGCCGCAGCTGACATCCCAGCCTACTACATCAGTACTTTTAAGTTTGATCACGCGTTGGTGAGTCTTAAGGCAGCTTCTTTGGGGCACGGGAGGTCTTTTGGTCCTTTTTCCTGGGAGAAAAACTATGATGAGAATAACATTTCCCACCTAGAGAACTCGTGGAGGTGCCTTTGCTGTGATGCAGTGGCCCTGTGTCACAGGCTCCTGAACCAAGTTCAGTCCTACCCTGAGGTAAAACCTTATGAGGGATTGTCATTCTTGGAGAATCATGGAGACTTCCTGACCTTCCCAGTCTCTTCCAGTGCATCACTGTCCTTCGTTAGAAACAGCCACCAACCCTCTCCATTTTCCTACAGTTGTGGTCAGAGGTGGCAGGCTCTCCAGAGCGTGGTACATTTGTGGGGGAACCGTCTTGCACCAACAGCACCCTGCTGCCTTCATCTCCTGCTGCCTGCATGGCCCTAACCTCTGTGGTTTGAGATCCATCTGTGAGTCAGGACTAGCTCTGCTCTTCCTGCTCTGTCCTCCTCCTGGTGTAGACCTTCCGTAAGGAGTAATAAGTGGCAGCAGGGCAAAGGCAGGTGATTTTGAGGCCATGTTTTTGGGAGCATTTGTAGCAGTTGCAGCGCAGGCATTGTCTTGTCGTTCATGTGAGGCTCTCTTCTCTTTTATATCAGCAGACATTTTACCTTTTAGGCATTGGGCCTACCTCTGCTCCTTCCTTCAGCTTCATAGGGAACCCTCAAAAACGAGGAATTTCCCTGAAAAGGGAAGATTGCTACACCTGTGGCTGTGAGTGGGATGGCATTTGACATGGAGCCTGTTCCTCAAGTCTTTATGGAGGAAGTCAGTAGCCTTTACACTAACAAAACTCACAAAACTCTGCTGTTTTGTGCTTTTTGTTTTCTTAAATATGCCCTTTATTGCATTATACTTCTCCTTTTATCACTGTAAATTCACTGTCCAGTCCCTGCTTTTGACCCGTAGAAGGGCTCCAAGGAGTTCAATGGTTTTTTTTTGCACTGTTTTTTCTTCAGCTAATTACTTTGGTTTTTCACAGCTGGCATGAACCATTTGCAGCCCGTAGGTCATATGTGTAAAGAGTAAAAGGTAAATATTATTCTAGATAGCAAAGGTCAGAGTGTTATATATGTTTGTCTTATTTTCTTGAATATTAACTGTGCTGATAAGATAAGCTAATAAAACACCATTTTAAAATCAATACTGTTAGCTTTGCCTCACATTCCTACCTGTTGTTGTGGCCACAGGAGCATGCTTTCTGTGCAGGGCACAGGGTGCAGAGTGCTTCTAATTGTCAAGTGATATCTGGAGAGCTAAACCCTGCTGCTGAAAATAGATTTTTCACTTAAAACTTGTGCCATACAATTGTGATGACACTGCAGCAGCTCCGCCTTTTAAAAGTGTCTCTCCCTGCTGCCTCCAAGCCCAGCAGCTCCCTGCCTCTGAGCAGCTGGCAAGGTGCTATTTTGGCCATGCATTAAGGTCTTGCAGATCTCCCTTCCTCAAATCAGTATTTTATCCTTTTTCTTGCTACTTGTTTGTTTGTTTGGTTGGTTTTTTGTTTTTTCTTACAGTTTTAAAAGCCTTTTCATCCAGTTGGTGCTATTCCAGCTGTCAAAACCTTTCACCAAAACATGCTGGATGCTGGTGCATTTCAAGCCCTCCTTTGCTTGACTTTGCTGCAGAAGCAGTGGCTGGGCTGTGCACTTTCTGGCTCTAGGCTGGTTTGGTTAGCCAAGAACCTCACCTAGATTCTGGCATTTTCCCTAACTTGACACTATTTTTTTGCTACGCAAACACCTTGACTTCTAGTGGCATTTCTCAAGGTCTAAAAGCATCCTGAATCCTTTCTCTGCATCCTCTCTTTCTTTATTTAAGGTCATTCAGTATTTGTTGTCAACAGTTTAGAGTGCTTTATAAAAAAAAGAAGTTGTTCCCCTTGACCTGATCTTTTTCCTGCTGTGCATCTTAAGGTGTTTTTTGTTGCGTATTTTTTTTATTTGACCTGGCTGTTAATATTCAGGTTTCTGCATTGCTGTAGCAGTAGAAGTGTGCTCTGGAAACCAGGAGCTGAGCTTGAGAAGAGATCTTTTTGGGAGACGCTGCTGAGATGGGAACCTCCAGGTCTCTGGTGTGATATGTAGGGTTGGGCTGGAGAGAGCTACGGTTTCCAGCTCCCTCTAGGGTATGTCTAGAGAGAGCAAGTGAGAAGGGTCCCTTTTAGCTTTTCCAGGTGCTCTGCTCTCATTGCCTCATGCTGGTAGGTGTCTTGCTCTTCTTCACCAGTATTTTGTATCCGATGAGGCTGAAGCAGTGTCTGGGGGGTAGTCTGGAGCTTTACTTTGCCTTTCGTGGAGGCTTTGATCTGCCCTCTGGCTGGCGAGTGGACGTTCTGCACCAGTTGCCCTGGTTTAGGGATCTTTTCTAGGTGGCAGAGAGGGGTAGGACTTCTCCACTGGTAGCAAACCAGGATGTTTGCCTACAAATCAAAACTATTTGCACATCTGTCCTGGAGAAACTCAAGCCAAAACCTTTGTGGTATGATTGATATTTCCTTGACATTAAGGGCATCAAGCATTTTGCAGTGAGTGAAGGTTCAACCTGCCGAGTTTAATTGAACAAGGAGGTGCAGGTCAAAGCCAGCTTTGCTTCCTCCTGCTTCTGTACTGCCCTAAAGGAGCACACGGAGAGATGCCGATCCTCCGCTGGGTCTGGCTAAGGAAATGTGTTCTGCAAACTCGGTTCCTGTGTCTTTTTTCATTATCTTCTGGAGAAGCAAAGAGCCACACAGCATCTCCCACCGCAGTATTGAACGTACAGGGAAAAACAATGAAAGAGAAGCAGAGGAGAGTCCTCTCTTATAGTCCTACTTCATGCGGTGGATGTTTGCTGGAGTTTTTTTCCAAACCCAGAAAAAATAGCTGTATGGTTGTTTTAAGATTATTTTCTTCCTTTCCCAGCTGACCTTTGTTCACACATCATCAGAGTTAGCGGCTCCTGTTCCATCTTCCCACTGAAAAATTGAATGCTTTTCTTGTTATTTCTCATGTTTTTTTATTTTATTTTTTATTTTTCTCAGTTTTGTTAAAAGCCCTGCAGAAAATCACAGCCCAGTTTTATTTCCACTGTCTGAGCTCTGAAGGGTCTCCAATGAATCCAGGTATTGTGCTCCTGGCCAAGGACTCAAGCACCTCACAGACGAAGCAGTCCCTTCTTCAACGTACTTAACGGGAATTATTTTGGCTTCTTGCAGCAGCTCACAGATAATTTATCTTTCCCTCAGTCCCCTTTCCACTTTCCAGGAGCTGTTAGCTGCCTGTCCCCTGAGTGTCATCTGTGGTTTATGTAACGGTCAGACGCCTCTTTCTGTCTCACCTAACTTTACTTGTGATATTCTTTTCTACCGATGACAGTCACTCCGCGATCTTTTGCATCTTCTGTTACAAGGGATTTTTCCTGCAGCAAGTGTGAACAGACACCCACTAATAATTTTGTGTGTGGACTTCTGTGCTTAAGTTTCATCACAAGATCGGAGTAAGAACGCTCAGGTGCTGTGCCGCACCATCTGGGACTCCCCCCACAAACAGATGGGCAGGCCTCTTCCTCTTTGGACAGACGGTCCCTTCATCACCTGATGTGGTCTCCCCACCCACGCTCGTGTGTCCCAAACCTGTAGGATGCCCTGGAGAGCCTTGTGGGGCCTCAGGCAGGGGTATAAATCCTTCAGACAAGCACCATGTTCGAGCGAGCTCCTGGCATACAGACGCATAAAGCAAGTCTCTGGGATACATGAGCCACGAGGGCTCAAAGCTTTACCTGAATCTCCCCGTACCTGTGGAATCCATATTGGGAATTACAAGATTTCAGGTGTTTTGGGGGAAGACAGTGGCTCTCCTGAGCCAGACCCAGTGCTGGAGCAGTGGCAGCACCACAGGCAGTGGTGTGTTTTCTGTGGTCCTGGGTGGGGAGAGGCTGCTCTCCCTCCTGCCAGGGGCAGCACTGCTCGCCCCAGCACGGTGCTTTGCCAACAACAGCAAGGGAGAGGAGGGGAGAGGGAGAAGAGAAGGCAAGGAAAGGCCCAAAACAGTCACCTCCCCACCAGCAGACACCATACAGACAGCAAATAGCCAGCTCTCACTTAAAACACTTGCTCCTATGGGAGCCACGCATCAGCACTTTGGAGCCGGAGGGTGTCTCTCATAGACGGGGCCCTTTCTCCGTGGAGCTCAGGTGTCCAGCATCCCACCTGGCACCCTGGGGCTCTTCAGGCTTTGTCTCCTGCCTCTCTTTTCATTATCATCCTACCCTGGCTTTTGCTAGAGCCTGACCTTTCTCTTTTTCTGTTTTCTTGCAGGTACCTGAAGAAAATATAAACGGTGTGGTCAATGCACTCCAAGTCAGTCAAGCTGAAAAGCATTAGAAATCTTCTGAGCTGGTTCCAGATGCTTTTTATTATTATAATTATTATTATTATTATTATTATTCTTTTTTTCTCACAGTATTTCTTGAAAAAAATCTGATTCCAGAGAGTGACATGAAAAGAGACTGTGGAAAGTTGAGCAGAAACAGCTCCAATTAGCCTTTGTTTTAATTATTATTATTATTATTATTATTATTGTTATTTTATTAAATTTCTTTATGAATGAGGGGCAGGAGGAAAGGGAGTTCAGATGGTTTCCTGAGGCCCAGCCCCGAGGCGAAGGGCGACCTTTGGCGGTGTGGAAGGAGCTCCCCGGGGACACCGGTGTCTCCCCGAAGTGCGGCGGCACGGCCCTGGGCGCTCTGCCAAGGGCTTGGTGGCACGGCCGGAGCAGAGGGGCCATAAACACTACGAAATGTGGAATTAAATGGAAAAGACGTCGCATAGTGCTGGCTTGTCTCCTCGCATCAGCCTTTCTCTGAGGACCGTCCGTCAGTTGCGTATGTTGAGATAGGATGGGGAGTGGGTTCTGTTTCCCCTGACAAAACTCTTTGGCGTTGGAAAAGGGGGGAGCATCCCATTGTCTGAGTTGTCCCCTGCCTTCCTTTCTCCCCGCAATCAAAGCCTGGCTGCCTGGAGAAAGCCCGGGGTGGACGTGTTGCTCTGGCCTGCCTCCCAGGTGGTGCCACCACCACTTTGTCTGCTTCAAAACCCGGCCGTTTCAGTTCAGTTTTCCCCAGCCACCCTCGGTGTCCTCCCAGTGTGTCCCCTGTGCGGGGGCAGCCGTTGTCCCTTCACCCCACGTCACAGCAGTCCCCTTTTCCCCCAGGGCCAGAAGAGGAGGAGGGAGGCTTCTCTTCTCACATCCCCTCTGTTCCTTTCCCATCCTATTTTTGGACATTAATTGGGGGCATGAAGCATTGCCCAGGGCCCCTCAGTAGCTGCTTCTCCCCTACCCTGCACAGCCTGGGCCGTCTTGTCTGAGCCCCACAGCAGGTGGTTGTCCCCTGCAGGGCCAGGAGGGTGCCCAAACCCTGCTGGGACCCTTCGGTGGGTTTTATCAGCTCCTTCATCGCCAGGGTGGAAATCGCTGCTGCCTGGGGACTCGATTCCCAGGGTCTTTCCATTGGGTTCAGGCCTTTGAAAGCCTCACGGTGCTGAACACTCCGGAAAAGCAAGGTGTTTTGTCTGGCCCCGCCACAGGCAGGTGACACGGCTCTTCCCCTGGGGCATGTTTGTGTCTGCCTCATGTCACAGCTCCCAGGTGGCAGGGCCAAAGCGCTGAGGTGCCACAGGGGACAGCAGGAGAGCAGGAGGCCTTCACCTGCAGGCCTCTGCTTCTGCAGCGAGGAGCCCGAGTATTTCTTGTGTTCCTGGGCTTCTTCCTGCCTTTGACGTGAAGAAGTAGCAGGTCTCAGAGTTGTAATGAGGACTTACTGACGAGACAGCCTCTAGCATGGATTTCGTGAGGCTGCGTCTCGCAGGGTTTTGCATGAAGCTGCAGGCAGTGCGCAAGCTCTTGGGATCGCGCCGTGGGCATGGATTGTGTTGGTGTGTAGGACATGCAGCCGGGTTTATAGCGGGGTGCAGGACATGCAGGCACTCACACTGATGTACGGCTCGCTGGTTAGTTCTCCTTTCATGGCACTGGAGGGCTGAGATAAATTTGAGTTATATTTGTGCTTTCTGGTGCTGCTGGACCCAGACATTGAGCTTCAAATCTCTTTGTTTCCCGATCAGTGGGGTGTTGTGTGGCAGCTGGGCAGGGAATCGGAGCATCCACAAACAAAATCATGGGTAACTTTTATTTCTAGGCCCCAACTACATTAAAGCATCCTGGAGCACTTGGGCACACGTTTAATGCTTTACCCAGCGGTGTGTTTCGCTCTTCCTTTACGTGGGTTTTCAGAGTTGCCCTGTGATACCTGCAGTCACTCCAGATTTCTGGACTAAAAGATTATTCCCGGTGTGGCACCAGGGATGTTTGCTCACAACGATGCTTCGGTTTCCTGCCACGTGCCGTGAGGATGCTGGCACAGGCCGTGCGGTGCAATAGTAGAAAAATGACAAAGCGAAACAGAGATGTTTTAGCTGAGTCTCTGTGGCGTTGGCAGCCGTGAGCTGAGCTGAAGGTTGCGGCAGGGTGCTCGGGAGCTTTTCACCACATGAAGCGTTGACGGGTTTCTCTGTGGGGTGGCAAGTTGGGGTGTTTGTGGGGCCATTCTGGAGATGGAAGCCAGCACAGCGCGCTGCTTGCCACCAGAGCTTCTGGTCAGCTGAGTCGAGCCTGAGCTTTCCCTGCAGTGCAAGGGCAGTGCCAAGGGGACAGGTCCTGTGCACAGTCCTGGGCTCCACCGGCCACTGACAAAATGGGCATTTGGCCCCGTTGTGCATCAGAGGGCAGCGTGCGTTGGCCTCCCCGTGTGCCAGTGCCGCTTGCTGAGGGCCGCGACGTTAACACTAAGGGATTACTTGAAATGAGCAGCAGCTTTACTGAGCCTTAAGAGAAAGCAAAAAAAAAAAAAAAAGTTAGTTTTTATTTTATTGTATTATTTTTTAAATTTTGCACTCAGGCTATTCTAGAGGGTGTTTTTTATTCATTTACATTTTCCTCTTCTTTCCCTGAGGGAGTCGGCCTTAAGTCTGTGAAATCTGTGGATGTCTCCGGGGCGCTTCAGAGCGTCACAAAGCAGGTTGATGTCCCGCCCGGACAATGTCACAAGGTGGAAAACCCCTCGGGGGCCTTCCTGTGTCCACCATCATCCTCGGACTCACATTTTTATTTCCTCTTTCTGTCTTGACAACCAAGTGGATGGTTCCAGGCGACGAGGGGCAGTTCCTTCTGGTGCTCCCTGCCTCGCTGCGGTGCTGGGAACGGGGCTGACCCTGCGTGTGGTTCAGATCAGCACCAGCTTGGGATCTGGTGTTACTTGTGAGAGCATCGATACGAGGCTAAGGCAAGACGGGGGCTGTGGGGGCTTTGTTAAAAAAATAACAATAATATCACACATAATGAGCACACTTAATGAGCTCAAAGCAGTGGCTCTTGAAGCTGCCTGACAGCTCCTCCTCGCCAGCACTTTGGGGTGGGGGAAAATGGAAGGGTCTTTTTGTTTTGTAATGCCTTACGATACTCACGTCTCTGCGCATCCCTGGCATTGTGCTGGTTCTTTGCCACTCTGGATAAAAGGAGGAAAACATCCCTGTGGCACAGAGTACGGCTGGGAGTGGTGGCACTGAAAACCAAGGTTAGGTGCCAGCTGCCCACGCTGTGTCCAAGCCTCCGCGCTCATCTTCTTGGCGTTTTCTCTCTTTACGGCCGCGGTTGCTGCTGATCAGGGACCCCTCAGCCCTGCAGGACCCCCCCTGTGCCCCCGGGGTTCCTCTCGGTGCACAAAACTTCACCAAACGGCGCAATGCAAAGAGCGTTTCCAGCCCTGCAAGGAGGGGTGGGCAGGGGAGGAGGAAGCAGCCCTCGCTCACCCTCCTTGCTTCTCCGAGGCCTTCGTTTCTTAGCAATTGAAACTTTTCTCATGCTGTGTGTTACTGCCTGGGGTTTTTTGTCTTTCTCCGCACGGTTAGATTTTGGCTGCAAGTTCCTTTCTACTGTGCAAGAGTGCGCGTATGTTCATAGAGCAGTGTATAGTGTTTCTGTAGGAATAGTATGTCCCCGTTGTACACATGTAGAAATGCCCGTGTTTTCTGTTTGTATGGCTGTATACTGTACATAGCATATATACTTGAGCAATATAGGTTAATATATACCGCGTGAGTACCCGTGTGTGTGCTCCGGGCACAGGCAGTAAGTGCCGCACACACACATTTACTCACCATATATTTTTAATTCAAGTATATAGGCAATACGAATACTTAGTTATACTCTGGATTTCTTGACACGTTTCTAGCAAAGAAACGGAGCAGAGCTGCGGCTCCTCCGCTTGCTGTGGGCAGGCAGAGCCCAACCCCAGTGCGCAGCGCGGTGCAGCCGCAGCGCCGGGCTTCCCTGCCTGCCTCGGAAACACCCTGCTCCTCTTCAGTTCGGTGCCTCAAGCACAAAGACTTTAGAAAAAAATGCTCCTTTTTCATTTTTAGTTGCTGTCCTGAATGCTTCAGCGTCTCCGTGCGGGGCTGCCTGTGTAGGTCCCTGGCTGATCGGGGGTTTCTGTTTTCATCTAGAGGGCAGTTTGGGCAGAGGAGGTGCGGGTTTTGGTGGGTTGGTGGCCTGAAGGCAACCCACGGCCACTGCGGATGTCTGGTATTTATTGGGTAGCTTGTGTTTGTTGACCTGAGGAGCTTTAAATCGGTGGGTTATTAACGCAGTGGGTTACTTTTAAATAGATGGACGTGGAGGAGGGTTTTATCCCGTTACGAGTGACAGAGGCTGCCTGAACTCGGTAACTGGAAACGCGTGGGCTTTGCATCTCGTCATCAGACTTCCCTGCTGGCCAGGAGGGCGTTTGGAAGGCTCTGGGTGGGAAAAGGCTCTCACCCCAACCCCTGTCCCGCAGTCACACTGCACCAAATGCTGCCTGGCCACTCGCCCTTCGGCTCCTCCAAGTCCCATAACTGCACCCGTCAGCAGCCTCGTGCAGCTTTCTGCCTCTTCTTGGACACTGGAGTCAGTTTGGTTTGCAGGTGACGGAAGTTTCTGAAGCGTGGTGCTCTTAGTGGCGTGCGATAATCCTTGCATAGGAGCCCTTAGCAGAAGCATTTGGATTTGGCTGGAGCCGACTGTGGCTCCTGCAGTGGGTGACGTTAGTACTGGGACTGACTCGCTGGGAACGCCGTTTGTAGTGGGCATTCATGGTGTAAACGCCGCGCTGCTGCTTCCAGGCTGGCTTTGGACTCCAGGCTCAGCGTTACCAACATGGCACGGGTGGGGAATGCTGCTGAGGGGGGAGATGAACTGACCCTGGGCCCTAACACAGACCTGTCGGTGTCGGACCCTTTCCCGTTACTCTCCTGCCTGCCCTGGGGCCACCTTCTTGGTCCGTGCTGACCCACAGCAGCCCCGGGGGCATTTCCCTGTGGGAGGAAGGGAGGGGACGGCTGGGGCACCGGCTGGTGCGAAGGGCATTTGTCATTTCCTTTGGACTTGAGCAAATATGAAGGTATGTGGTTTCGCTCATTTGTCGTGAGCACAAAACCATTTCTGTTCTTTCTCCAATTTGACCCAAGCAGAGCTCCTCTCCCTGCCCAGCTCCCCTCTCATTCCCCGGGGACACCTTTGTCCCAGTCCCAGCTGTGGTGCCAGGGCCCCTCCCAAAGCCCCGGTCCTCAGAAATCCTCCGATGTGCAGCTTCTGCCCTGGGGAGAGCCTCCGCGGGTCTCCGCGTGCTCGGAGGCAGCAGGTCCTTGGAGAAGGATGCCAGGTCCCGTGTCGGTGCTCCTCTGGCACTGCTTCAATGCGAGCAGCTCCTGCCCTGTCGCTGGGTGAGCGCCGGTTTCTGGTGGTGACACGGGAGGAGCCCAAGCCTGAGCAGCAGCTGCCAGCTCCTGAGCAGAAGTGTCTTGCTGCAGCATTCGGTGATGGACAAGAAATCGTTTCCTGGTGGGGATTTCTTTTCTTTCTGTTATTACTGCTGCTGTGGACATCTCCAGTAAGCAGCTTAAGGCATCTCACTTACCTGGTCCCGTCCTGACTGCAAATGCTGGACTGGATTAAACTTTTATTACCTGCTAGAGAGTAAAACCCAGGAAGCCTTTTGCCAAATAGTATTTACGTCGTACCGCGCGTGCTGGGGTGTGTTTACATTGGCCGAGATGTGCAGATCTGCCTCGCAGATTGAGATACCTCCTCCCCACACACTCATCCGTCTGTCTGTCCATCCCCCTGTGGGCTGCCCGTGTCGGGGCCAGCGATACCCCGTGGGCTTCGTGGGGGCAGAGCCCAGGTGGAAATGCTCGGGGTGCTTCACCCAGCACGGGCTGTGGGACCTCGACCGTGAATCCTGAGTCCCTCTGCTGCCTTCAGGCCCTTTCCATCCCCCTGCCTCCTTCTTCACTTAATCTTCATTAAGCACAACTCGGTTTAAATACCAGCTCTAATTAGCACAGGGGAAGAGAAGTGTTTGCAATACAGCACAAGCACTGGAGGCTGCTCACGCTGCTGCAGCTGCCCCTGCAGAAGCTCTGGTGAACGTGGAGCAATGCACAGACCCTGTTTTTGGCAGGGGAAATAAATGAAGTATGTATCAAGCAAAGTGTATTATAATTTTAGGGTGTGAATGTGCAGGGAAACATACCTCTTTGGAACACATATAGCCAAGAAGTCCCGCTCTTGGTCTCTCTAGACAGCACCAGCCATTTCTCCTGCTGGTTGGGAAGCAAACTCCTATACTGAGGGCTGGGACTGAAGGCTACCTTCAGACCACAGCTCATAGCCTTCCCTCGCTCTGTCAGCCCCTCTGTTTTGTAAATAACCTGGGGGTGGGTTTGGGACTGGGGATGGATCAGCACAGCAGGGCTGTTGGTTTGAGAGCCGTGGGGTGCTGCAGGTCCCTCTCCAGTAGCTGTGCCAGCGTCCGCCCCACCCTGATGCCAAAAAGTGGCTCCGTTCCTCCTTCATTTTGGGGCTCGATTGGATTTTTCCCCTTGTTGCAGATGTGGTAGAGGTGATGGTGCTTGCATGGCGCATTTGGGAGGGATTTGGAGTCGGGGCCCTGCTGCCCCCACCTCCCTGCTGCCATCTCAGCGCCTGGACCCTCCTGCGACGGCAGTACTAAGCCTTTTCTTTCCCCCAAAGGATTCCTACCAGCTCTTTTGTAACTTGAAAAAACGTAGTTTTCCGAGTACCCTGCCCTTTGTGGGAATGCTGCTGCTGTCCCAGCGTGGCTGCCGGCAGCACGAGGGCTCCGCTGGTGGGAGAAGCTGGGGAGCGTTCGCCGTGCGGAGCCAAAGGAAGAGGCGGGGAGCTGTGTGCTTGGGACCTAGGGGAAAAACCCCACTGCCCTTCATTATTTCTTGTAATTAGTTTTGATGCCTGGCTTGTGATTGTTTTTGAATTGTTCAGATCAGCAAAGTGACCCAGTGGGTTTTGCTACGGCTGCAGGGCTGCTGGGGGCAGGACGCCTGGGAGGTGTCGGGGGGAACAAGCGGTTCTGCTCCTTTCGGTCAGTCCTGGTGCTGGAGAACCCGCTGGGGTTTGAACAGCTCCTTTAGGGTGCGAACCTCAGCGGTTTCCCTCCTGGGGCAGCGTGCTGCTGAGTCCAGCCCTGGTCCCCATTTGTAAACCCCAAAACCTCGCTGCTGCTGACACCCCGGTGCTGGCCCCGTGGCTGCGGGCAGTGGGGCTGTGAGGATGGCGTTTCGTGGGGGTGGGACAGGCGAGGGGTGGCCTGGCAGGGACCTGCAGCAGGGCCCTGATGTGGATGCCCTGTCTGAGCCTCTGGACGAGCTGTCTCCCTCCACCTCCACTAGCTACACACCCGCCTGTTCTCCCGGTGTTTTTTTTTCCCACTAAACCCAGGGGGTGCAATGCCCTTGCTTGGTCCTGTCGCTTGTCTCCTGCTCTTAGGGCACCGTAATGCACCTGAGGGGTTAATTTGGGGGATGGCGTTGAATGGAGGAACCCGATCATCCCCATCCGTACTTAGGGACAGATTTTGGGTTGGTTCCTGGGGCTGACAGGCACTGTGTTGTCAGCCCTGGGGTAATTCTGGGCTCACGCTGCAGCTGCACTGCACGGGGCAGTGTCACACCGTGTGGGTGCGGGTCAGCAGCCGGAGGGCACCGCCACCCCCTTGGTGTCTCACCTGGCTTCAGTAGCAGCTCGGCATCTCCCTCCCCCTTCTTTTGGACTTGAGAAGCAGCCTGGATTTTCCCCAAACGCCCAGGATTGCCCGTAGTCATAGCAGTGCCCCAGATTTCCAGCAAGCAGAGGGGCTCCTGGTGCAGCATCTTCCCAGCGTCACCCAGGGTCTTGCCCCTGGCTGCTCCGGGTGGCCCAGCGGGGCAGCCCAGGGGCACACAGACCTTGGGGACCTTAAAGCCCCTTGTTTAGGTACCGCTGTCTCTGTAAAGTGAGTGAGATCCCGCTGCTGACCCCCTGACACCCACCTGCCTGGCAGAGGCTGGGCTGGGGACAGGGGCACCCTCAGCACCCCGACCTCCCGCAGCCCCGCTCGGGACCCTTCATTTGGGGGAGTACAAAAAAAAAAAAAAAAAGCATTTTTATTTTTTCCCCCCTTTAACTACCAGACTGATGCAAACCAAGGCAGGGGCTCACCCTGAGCTGTGGGGGGGCTGCTGGCACTGGGGAGGCTGTGGGGCTACGAGGTGCAGGTGGCCCTGATACGGTGACACTTTCAAGCCCACTGCTGCCCAAGGGGCCCGGGCTGCAGCCAGCACAGTGCCCCGGGCGCGATGCGTGGAGCTGAGAAGTGGAGGCTTTGCTTTCCCAGCGAGTGCACACGCTTCTTTTCTTTGCTGGTCTTACGCTGAAAAGCTGAGATTTATGTACTGTATGGGGAAAAAAAACAAAACAAAACAAAAACACACAAAACATACACAGAAAAAAAAAGAAAAAAAAAAAACTAATGTTCCAAAACAAATGACAGTATATTTTGTACTTTGTAAAGTGTTAATTAAAATGAAAAAGAAAAAAAAATGAAACATACGCTGTCTGCTTTTGTACTGATCAAACTGATGAAAATAAAGCAGAGCTTGGCATTGTCTTTATAAGATGTAGCTCGCTTTTTTCCGGCCCCTGGTCGCACTTGGCTGTATTCAGTGCCTGGGGCTCTCGGCATCCCACAGGACCGGCCCCAGGGTGAGCTTCATTCCCGAGGGCTTCTCCATCCCCCAGGCTGCTGTCAGGGAACCCGGAGCCTGCCCCATCCCTCTCCCTGGAAGCCCAGAGGCAGCAGGATGTCTTGGGGTGGGTACCAGACCCATTTTTCACCCACTCGCAGACGGGCCCCAGACAGCCCAGGGGAGTTGTCTGAGTCTCAGCAAGCGACGAGGCTGCCCAGGGCCGGTCTCATCCTGGGGGAGCTGAAGGACCTGGCTGGCCATGCAGGAAAACCCAGCGGATTCCCCTCGCGTCAGAAGCAGCTCCTCTGCATGACCTCTGGCTGCTTAGTCAAGAGATTTTTTTATTTTTTTTTAAGATAGATCAGCCCATTTTTGACACTTCTGGCCAAATTTAAAGAGCATGTACCTAAGAATTTGGTATGGGATCATTAACCTTTGGTATGGGACCATTAACCTGAACATTTTCCAGACGAAAATTTTCATCTGGAAACAAGCACCAAGTGTTGGTGACATGCACCCTTAGTGCTGTGCCTTGAGAAAAAGCCATTGCAACACAAAACCAGCCCCTGTGGTCTCCCAGGCACATGGCTACTCACAAAAGAGACTGGGGTCTTGGGGTAAATGTGCAGGATTTTGGCTGTAAAACTGGAGCTTAGACTCCTAAAACTCCATTTGCTGATGGGGCCCTCTCGTCAGTGGTTCTCCACCTTTACCCAAAGAGGCACAGACGCTGGGGGGTGGCCCAGCACACCACAAAAAAACACCACAAAATCTGGAGTGTGATGAGTCACGCCGAAGGAACATCGTTCCAGCGGCATTTCGAACGCCCCAGGCTAATTATTAGTTCTCTGAGTCACTTGTTTTTGAAGGATCCTGTGGAGAAAAGAGCTCACCATAACTGTAGCAGGTGCCTAAAATAACTGGTTTCGGGGGCTCCGATGTGCCCCATCGCCGGGCTGGCTCCAGAGTGGAAATTCGGGTGAGTCCCTCGTCCTGCCCTGCCGCAGCCCACCGGGGTGCTTGGGGTGGTTCGTGCACGGCTCTGCTCAAGCAGCTCGTCCCGGGCTGCTTTCAGGCTATTTTAAGCCCAAACTGACAGCGCAAAGGTGTTTGGAGGGCGAATTACTCTTGCTAATCAATGCAAAATCAAGGAGGTTATTTTAGCTCTGATTTGAGCTGCTCCCCGTGTGCGTCCTTGCGCCCACCCCTCTCTGCAGGTAGGTATATTTAGGGCTGGCTCGTCTGCGGCTCTGCAGGACGAAATGGTGCAAAGCTGCCTCCAGGCGCATCGTTCCCAGCTCCCCAGAGGGGTCCCTGCCCCTTGGCAGTGCTCGGACACGGCCCTGACCCATCCTGGGGGCGGCAGGAACCCCTCAGGACACAGCTTCCTTTGACTGGGGGTGGAAAGTAATTACTTTTCTATTATTTGCATCCTTTTTTATTTTGATACGTTCATCTTTATTGCCTTCTCAGTAGAAAACCAGTGCAGGGAAGGTTGTTGCTGGTTTATGAGGGCTGTGACAAGCGCCCCAGGAGTTCTCTGCTCATCCCTTCCCTCAGCACTTGGGGCCCAATGCGGGATGTGCTGGAGACAGGGCAGGAGAGCAGCCCCTGCACACACCCTGTTGGCAGCCGGGCAGCCTCAGGCTGTGCTGCATGAGCTGCCCAGCACGTGCAGCCTTTCACTGGCAAGTACAGGGGGAACTGGTGTCAGTCTGCCTCTCGGAAACCAGCCCCGTTTTGCAGACAGTGCAAGATGCTGAATAACAAAGTGACAGGTGCCACGTTCAGTGGCTCTTGACAAGCTCTAACCTGATCTCATCACTCCAGCAACGCCCCTGTAACCAAAACGAGGGTTGGGTTTGATACTTGCCAGACCACAGGTCTCTGCCACCAACCCTATTCCCACCCCACTGTGTGTTAGTGAATGCCCACAGCCACTGCAGTGAAATTGCAACCCTCCCCAGTGCATTAAGCCGTGTAACACTTCTATTCAGGCTAAAGACCTTGCTGGCATTTAATTAACACACAGACTTTGCAATTTATTGCACAGCAAGACTGCAAGATAAGCAGGTAGGACATGGCACCAGGCCCCAGCCCAGCTCTCCAAGAGGCCGGAGCAGCGCTGGTGGCAGAGCAGCTGCAGGCCTGCAGAGGGCCCAGGCACCGAGCTGCAATCCTGCAGCCCCGGCAAACAGCAGCGTGCCCGAGGGAGTTGTTACAAACACCTTCCTTGCCAGATCTTTTTGTATTTATTTCCAATGCTTTAATAAGCTTCCTCATGTAAAAAGGGCACAGCTGCTCCCAGGAGGCCAACACGACACATTTGGGCAACTCAGGCTGCTCCCAGCAGCTGCAGAAGGTATAAATCAGGGCTCAGTTAATGGGAAGGCACAGCAGTGAACTGTCACAATCCAACATTCACAGATTGCTCTGCCCCAACCCACCACCACAACGCAAGGCTCAGAGCAATGTTAAGAGTAGCTCAAAGACAGGGTGGACTGCAAACTTTGGTTCACCTTCGTGATAGTTCATGTGAAGTCCTCCATAAGTTACTGCCTCAGCACAGAGCTCAGCCCCAAGCTCTGGTCAGGCTAACACAAAACCGATTTGGTACAGAAATCCAGCTAAGGGAGCTAAATACGGCACCCTCAGGAGCGTGGCTACTGGCCTACAGCAGTAGGGCTCCTCCTGGGGGAGGTATCACAGGTGACAGAAGTTCCTGCCACACCACACCAAAATGCCTGAATTTAAACACAGAACAGCCCCTCTGTGAAGTCAAATAACATTTCCATTATTAAGAAACAAAGATACAAAGACTTAATCACTTTATTTATAACAAATGCTTGCATTTTGCAAAAATAATAATAATAAACATATATTTAAAAATGTTATTATTTATTTATTTTTACAAAGCAGGAGTACCCCATACATAACTGACACAGCTACACCTGAGGTTGGGAGCATTTCACAAGGACCGTCCCACACTTGTGTGTGAGGCACATGCTGCTGCAGGCACATGCAGCTGCTGCTTCCCATCTCCTTTAGCTCACTGCACCCTAGATGAGCTTAACACAACTCCTCTGCTAAAAAGGCACCACAAAACAAGGCTGTGCCTACAGCCGGCTAAGGCTCACGCACTGCAGGAGAGCCAGGCTCAGCCCAGGGGCTCTTTGCAACTCAGAGCCCCCGTAACCCCAGGGACGAGGACTGCCAGGACTGCCCAAAAATCAAAGGCAGCAGTTTGTGATCAGCACACGGAGACCACTATGTGACAGTGAGTGCTGCTTATTTCCACTGCCTGAACACCAGCCCCACGTGCAGCTCAGAGGGACCTTTATGGAAGTAGGCTGGAAACAAAGATGCTGGACTGGCCCCTGCCCTTGGGCCTGTGCTTCCACAGCAGCAGCACTTTCCCCCTGCAGACAAGTTCCCACTCTCCCAGCGGGACAAACGTGTTCCCTGGATGTTCCTTGGCTGTTCAGTCTGCAGCAAACACGCAGAGCCTGTGGCAGGTGGCGTGCCCAGGGCTGTCTGCAGGCCCCTGGCCGTGTCCAGCTTCCACAGGGAACGGCAGCCTGGGCAGAGCACAGCTGGGGGGGATGCTGAGCAGAGCTGTGCTGGACTCCAACAGCCAGAATGAGTTTTCTTCTGCATAAAAAACTAGTAACTGTAAAGCTTTCCTGGGGAAATAGCTTGGCTCAGTCCAATGCTGACACCCCAGAGCTGGTGACAAGGAAAGCACCCGTAAACGAATGCCCTGTGCTACAGATTTCACCTCACACCAGTCTTCCCTGAGGGAGATCTCTTCATCCTCACACACAGGATGCACCAGCTGCGGGCTGGGCCTCAGCCTCTTTGGGAGCTTGTCAGGAAGCAGCCAGAGCACTCCGTGCACTGCTGCCCTCCTCAGGGAGCATCCTCAGCAACGCAGAGATGAGAACACCCCGAGGCACTGCAGGGGCTGTCCCTGCCCACAGTCACTTCTTGCCTGGCTCCATGGAGCGAGTTTCCCTTTCCCAGACGCTCATCACCGAGCTCCCCGTCTTCAAGGCGCAGCGCCGAGGCCCAACAGCATTGCTAGGTGAAAGATTTAACCATGCTCACCATGTGATCCACGCCACACGCAACATCCACCACCTCACCGGGCACAGTCACCTGCATCAGAGCACAAGAGCAGATTATTTCTCAAGCCGGTACCTTGCACCCTATTTCCTATTTCTCATTCACCCCCTCCTGCTTAATATACCAGTTGCTTTTACAGGAACTTGCACCAACAGACTAGTCAGCTTGAGAACCCAGAGAAAGCAAGATCCAGCACCAGACGTGCCTGTGCATCAAACTGCCAAATATTCCCCTTCCCCCCTCCCAGGAGGGCACAAAGCTCTGGAAGGACAGAGAGAACCATCTCAGCAGCAGCCAGTGAGGAGACCAAAGCCTCAGCCCATCTGCTCAGCAGCAGCACAACTGACCAGAGCAAAATGCAGACAAGAGGACGAGGGCCTGCCCAAGCACCACAAGGATTAGCCTCTTCTCTCATCAGCAAGGACAGGAGAGATGCAAGAGCTTGGCTTTGCCTCAGGCAGTTTTTACTTTGCTGCTAAGCAGACCCAGCTCACCAACCAGAACAGTTGCACTTCTTGCACTTCAAGTACACTTACAGCTCAAGGAAAGCTGAAGCTACAGAGGGTAAGATGCAAGCTTTTCCTCTGAGCTAAGGGAAAGTAGAGATTGCTCGCTCTAGAGTGGGAATTGACAGGAAAAGAGCCTGGTAACTGCCCTTGTTCTGGTACACGGCTGTACCATAATGGTACTTTGGTATCTCCTGGAGGAGCTGGCTGCTGAAGAACTACCCTCAGCATCCACCCCGGGAAACCTGGACACACTGTATGTGGTGCAGTCAGACCCTGCTCAGCCACAGCGGTGTG